ACCTTCTGGGGCAACAGAAAACAACTCCTTACTATCCTTTAGATGACAGCCCTTCACAGAATCACAGAGTTGGAAGGGACCTCCGGGGTCGTCTACTCCAACCCCCTGCACTCTGCAGGAAACTCACACATACCACACACACACACACACACCCAGTGACCCCTGCTCCATGCCCAGAAGATGACAAAAAACCCTCCAGGATCCCCGGCCAAACTGGCCTGGAGCAAAATTGCTTCCTGACCCCAAAGTGGCAATCAGCATTTCCCTGGGTGTGTAAGGAAGGGCCACAGGAACTAAGACCTGAGGCCACCCTCCCTTCTCATGATCGGCCTAAATTCACTTAACCTGGACTTTCACCTTGAGAGGGGTTGTGGCTCACTGGTAGAGATGTTCTATGTCCTGTTGATAGCCCACCAGAGGAACTGGTTGGCCTTTGTGCAAGACGAGACACTGGACTAGATGGCCCAGTGGTCTGATCCAGCAGGGCTCTTCTGATGTTCTTACAATCTGCTTTGCAAACAGAAGGTCACAGTTTCAATCCCCGGCTTCTCCAGCTAAAGTATCAAGCAGTAGGCAATGTGAGAGACCTTGACCTGAGACTCTGGAGAGCATCGGCCAGGCTGAAAGGACTATAGTGACCGGGACAGACCAAGGATGAGGTTCCGCAGAAGACAGCTGCAGGTGTTCAGCCTACATTCTGTGTCCAGGTCAGACAACCCCGTCACCCTATGAAGCCTGTAATTCTGTTCAATAGCAGGCTGGCTTTGGTTTGGCATCAGCCCCATTTTTTGAACTAGAATCCTTGGGACCCAGTGATGTGTTTTAAGATTCAGGTGAGTAGCCGTGTTGGTCAGATGTGTGTGTATGTACCCGAAGAAGTGTGCATGCACACAAAAGCTTATACCCAGAATAAAACTTTGTTGGTCTTCGTTGGTTCAGGAGGGTAGCCATGTCGGTCAGATATGTATGTACTTGAAGAAGTGAAAGGGAAAGGTAAAGGTTTCCCTTGCTCGAAAGCCAGTCGAGTCCGACTCTAGGCTCATCTCCGTTTCAAAGCCGAAGAGCCAGCGCTGTCCGAAGACGTTTCCGTGTTCATGTGGCCGGCATGACTAAACACCGAGGCGCATGGAACACTGTTACCTTCCCACCCAAGGGGGGGAGGAGTGGGGAATCAAACCCGCTTCTCCAGATTAGAGTCTGCCGCTCTGAACCACTACACCAAACTGGCTCTCAAGGGGCAAGGGGGCAACTTGCCCGGGAACCCCAAAGCAACATTTGGTCTCTGTGGTAACCAGGCACTAGGTAGCAAGAGACCCCAGAACCAGGAAGGGGAAACTGGGATTCCTCTTCATCCCAGTGGGAAGCCCCTTGTTCTGCATTGGTATACGTATGTCTGAGCTTGAGTTTCGACCCCTATCTAAATCGTAAATTGCACAGTCTGATTGGCTACTCCGCGTAGTAGTCCAATCAGGGTACAAGAAAGGTTCTGGAGGGAGATGCATTCATTGGTTGTCATGTTACTATTCTGATTGGTTCTTGACGCACTAGTGGGCGTGGTTATCCAAGCCCGGGTAGTTTAAAAGAGAGCTTGTTGCTCTCCCGTTTGGGTTGGTTCTTGTCTTGTTCTAATAAAGCTGAATCAATTGTGAATGAGCTGCCTGAAGTCTACTCAACATGCCTTAAACAAGCAGGTGGTGGCAGTGAGTACCCTTGTGGGAGGAAGTCGTAAACCCCTATAGGAGTTGGCACCAATGTTCCCTCTAAGCTGCGGAGTCTTGTGAACAAAAATTCTACTTTGTGAGCTACTGGCATGAAAGTTGTGAGCAAGCGATCTGGCTACTGCATAAATTAGTTGGCTGTGGGGCCCTCCTTCCTGAGCTAAGCCAAAAATGTGTGAGCCAGAGGCTAAAAAACTGTGAGCTAGCTCACACTTAACTCAGCTTAGAGGGAACACTGGTTGGCACCCCAAGGAGTGGATGGGCAGAGCAGGGTCTGCAAGTCCGAGCAGACCCGTCCCGTCACAGAGTCAAACACCCACTCGGCGCTGGTCCTCTGCCTAGCACTTGCATAGCCTAGCCCAGTGGTGGCGAACCTATGGCATGGGTGCCAGAGGTGGCACTCAGAGCCCCTCTCTGTGGGCACGCGTGCCATCGCCCCAGCCAGGCCCAGACCATCATTAAAGTGTCGAATTCTCTGCCAAATAATTTTAAGTAAATGAAAGCATTTGGGATTGCTTTCCTTACTTTGTT